AGGAAGATTTTCTATCGGAGTTGACTGGTGCTATATTATGTCCCCGTTTGTTGTTGCCATTGAAGACGATATCTAATTGAAACTGAACAGGAAATGTGGCTCTGTCTAGATGTAATCTGGTTACCATAATGGCCACACATACACCTTCCACTCGAGAGGTTCCGGGTTCAAGCCTTGAACAGCATTGGGGATGCGCACAGCTGATGAGCCGCTACAACTTCTATGTTCATAGTTCTCTCCTATAAAGGTTGAAATTTGGGTGACTTTGAGTGTTGAGAGAAAATTCGTTTTGGTTCGAAAGTTACAGCCGAGATTTTGCAAATATTTTACACAAAGCAGCATCGGAATTCATTTTTTTTAATAAATCATTTTTGTTCCATGAGAGTTTTTATTAAGGTGAGCACATGTGTTCTAAATTGCTTATATTTTTTCATTCAGCCAAGAGTAAATAAGCAAATTAATTAAAATATTCTGACTTGAATAAATTGATAAATTTTTGGGCTATATACTACCCACGCATTATCCACAATACTAAAAGAACTGAAAACATAGTCCCAGAAACATAAAAGTTGATCTTCGCGGAAGTCATATTTTTCATAGAAGAAGGTTGATTTATCTTCTTGCTTGGTAGTAGAAAACGGTTAGACCTAATTAAATGTTATTTTTTCACATTTATGCGGTCACCGGAGGGGTCAAGTTTAATTTCAAATTCTTTCAATTCCCGTACAGCAGCTGGGATTTTAATTTAATCGAAAACTTTTCCCTGTTTCAGAAACAGGGATAAGTTAGCTATAAGAGTGCGGGGTGTATTGGAGGAAGCTTGCAAATTCTGTTTGTCAGTCAACTTGGTGGACTCCATGCTAAAACGATTGTCTCCAGTGCTCAAAAATGAAGGAGGACAAATGGAACATGGACGAGATGAAAGTACAATACCTGTATGAAGTCTATGAATCAGTTTAACAAATAAATTACAGTTACTTTTTCTACTGTGAATTTATTATTCTACACCTGATGCACCAGCAACCATCGTCAAAATCGCGAAGCGTAACATTTTAACGGCTTATAGAAGCAAAGTCATAAGTAGGTATTATAGTAGATAATGTTTCGTCTGATGTGGGGCAATATCATATTCAATCCCGTCAATGAGGCTTGAAAAATGAACCATTGAGAGGAACAAATGTGATAAAAATCAGAATGTTGCACGAGTTTGGTCAATACCTGTAATGTTGGTGTGGTTTCATTTATTCGAAACAAGGCAAAAGTGAAATCATTCTTCAGAAAGGATCCCAAACTATTGATGATAACGTAGGAACAACGGTGTTGGGGTTAGAGTTCACGAATCGTACGATAATGGACAAACGGTCCAAACAGCTAGATCACCATGAGTATCCGAATAGCTCAGAAAGTAATAAAAATAAATCTGACTGAGTAGCTTTCGGCCCATTGTGCGATAAACCTTCAAACAAAAGTCTTGGAGTATCGAACCAGAGTTGCCGCTGTGAATGGAGGTACTAAGACAACACTTCTTACGATAGATTAGTGAACATTATCAGGTAGACAGAGAAAAAAGGCGTACTGTGGAGAGGAAACATGCACAGGCTTGGACGCACTTCGCGGTGCAAATGAACCAATCAGAAGGTGCTCACGTGCGAGGCGCTCAAGGTCACACTCACGGCCCTTGACCATGGATAAAAGTTAGAGATGGATTTTTATGTACTTGAGCAAGGATAGACCTAAGTAAGTACGACTGGCGCGCGACTATCCAGGGCGGCTGGTCCTGTGTCCGTATCTAGTCTCATGTGCGATTGATGCGAACGATAGCCTCATAGGAGAATAGAATTAAAATTTTCAGACGTGGACTGGAACAGACTAATGTCCCAAAAATCATTCGAGCGAAAGGTGAGAAACCCTACTGTCCCAGACGAATGGAAGCTGAGCATCCTATTCCCACCCTAGTGTGTGTGTGCGTGTCCGAAAGAAGAGGAATTCTAGGTGAAAGAGCGAACAAAGTGTTTTATTGGATATCAGAAAATTGACGAATAAAACACCGATTGCGAATGCATAATTATATTGGAAACTTTTTCAGAGATTGTAAATAAGAGAATCAGCAATTTTGAATCTACGCTAATTTACAGACACAGGGTATTTGTATGTCGGTTTTAAAAGAATCTATCCGATCTCTGGGGTCTCAGTGAATTCCAAAGGAATGATACCTCCCTCATCCAAATTGCTATGCGTGCAAGTGTTGGGCTAGCCACGGAATAATTGCAATGCGGAAAGATCGCGTCTCACGGAGGGGGGGGCAATTCGAAAGATATGTAATGATCGTAGTAATAGTAGTAATAGCACGCACGGAATTCGGAACACAAACCACACAATAGGAATCACAGAACACGAATCAAGGATCAGTTATCACAGACTGGATCACGGAAGCACTGGACCGCAATGGCACAATCTTGCAATTCCCACGTGAACGATACGCGAGGAAAAGGCCACAAGACTGGTACCTCGTGGTTCGTTTATTAAAAGAAATGAAGGAGGTCAAATAATATGTACAAAAGGAGATCATTGTTTATCTAGACTTCTACCAATCATATCTGTCTATACTGTCTCGGATTGGCTGGTACGATCCACCAATAGCGTTTAGTCAGAAACCGTGACGCGTACGCGCGTCATTGACGTTACCTTTCAAACTCGATTAATCGCATGTGTCCAGAAACTGTATCGTGCCGCTCCATGGTAGGAGTCATCACGTAAGCCTGGATCACCACAAGATAGTACACACTGCAGGGCTGAATGAATTACCCAGTGCAATCCATTGGTCTGCGAACAAAAGTCTCTGAAATATCGCTCAACACCCACAGAATTTGAATCAAAGAAGGGATTTCTCAAGACACCTGAGTGAAAAACACTGACAGACTTTTTAATCCGCTCCATTCATCTTCCAACTGGCCAGTTTGAACTCGAAGTGTCAAAAGTACAGGCAATTAGTCCTGCCGAAGTTTGAAAATGAAAGTTTATAATATTAACGATTAAGAGGTAATGTCCAATAATAAATGGGGACCATATATATCAATTTGCGAGAAACAAACTTCACCCAACCCTACTTGTTCGATCCGATACAACTCCCTGATTGGACAGATCATCCATTTATGCTACATTATTCATCCATGCCGGATTTTTCATCATCCTATCACAAAGTGTCACACACACTGTGATTTCCGTGTAAGGAATAGTTGGATTCCCTCCTGGCAGTGGAACCCGCCGCACTGTGGAACGAAAACCGAAAACATTTAGCAAAGATGGATTGTGCTATATCGTGTAAATGAAAAATGAAAAACGGTCTGATCAGCTGCCCCGGGGTAGTCGAGTGGGTAGCACGCTTGAGTTCTGCCCATGAGGTCCCGGGTTCGGTCCCCGATGGATTGGCGCACTGCACGGATGAGACCCAACCAGATTGAAATAGCTGTCCATTGTGCTTCCTAGTTTTTCAGTTCACGCTTCATTCGCCATATACACGACGAATTTCCCTTTTGAAATTGAATCAAATTCTCCATTACTCACAAGAATGAGCAAATTTGTTTAATTCTCTCTGTGTGTGTGTGTGGACTATTAAAATTGCCGTAGCATCAGTGCACTGTTCTCATTGATCCCCTGGGTACGTGTACAACTCATATTAGGCATGTAAAAGATTATAACGTTCATTCACAACCACGCATCCCTTCGTTCGAATTCGAGTCGTGACAAGCGCACTGGATAAACAGGCACTGCAGACTAATTCCAGCAAACTGGATGACAGAGCTATACAGTTGTGCATACACGGTTCCTCAGCGCACCTTGTTCATATCACACCGCGAAGTGTTTTCTAACCACTCTGTAAAATAAATTCAGTTTGTTTAGGCGTGTCTTTGGTTGGTTTGAGTCAGCGCTGTTCCCCCGTCTGCTATCAGCATACGCTATCCAGGCAAGGAATCCATGGCCACAACGTGATTGCAAAATGCTGAAGCGTCCACAAAGGATGGCCACCAAAATGGTTAAGGGGTTGAATCGCTGTTCACACGCAGAGAGACTGGAGTCGTTGAGGTTATATTCCAATCACTACCGGTGCATCAGTGGAGATATGGTTATGGTATACCAACTTATGCAAAACCCAAACCATCCGTGTCGCTCGCTGATAAAATTATCACCCAACGTTCATGTTAGAGAACATCCGTTTAGACTAGCGGTCTCCAAATACCGCTTGGAATGCCGGCGTCAGTCATTCGCAGTCACAGTGTGGTCGATCTGGAACTCTCTCCCACTTCATGTCGTCTGTGCGCCAACCATTGAGTCTTTCAAATTAATTGAGACTCAATGAAATATTAGCTCACCTTACATCCCAACATAAGTGAAGCTGCGTGCAGTAATGGAAGAAGCATGTATCATGTAACATTTTGCACGAGGAATTGTATGTATCACCGTCTTCCAAACCATAACACGAACCTATCGGACGAGAAAAGCATGTAAGCTTGTAAGTTATTCCCATAATAAAACTTTGAATACAAACCAAACGAATCATTCCAGTACATTGCGTAATCATGATCGATTGCATGGCCGACTGTTTTCTACTCCCTTCCCGTTTCTCACAAACGCACATGTGCATCTGATCACAGGGTACCGCAATCGGACAACTGGCCAAACAAATTCCAAATGTGAAATTGATCGGGACCGCGAGCAAAGCAAAACACGAGAAACTGACCGGTCTGTATGACGTGTTGTACACCCCGGACGAGGACAAGGTGTCAGAGATTAAAAAGTATGTATGCCACACAGCACTCAACACTCTGGTTACATTTTTGTCTCACTGGTAGCAGTGGCTGTTGTTGCTCTTTTTATTATTCGGCCTGTTTTGAAGTTTTATTTGGCATGCTTCGTAAAACGCACGTCAACCGAATCGCACGGCTTAAACTCGGAAATTGGTGATCTGATTGGCAAGAAACCATGACCCGGACAATCGAGTACGGCCATGAGTTGGTTTTCCTTAATCTGCCTATGCATAAATTGGGTTTAGCACCACGAAAGTTGTGGTTAATTGATAACTATAAAACCCGCAATAGTACTGAACAGTCAGTTCTTCGATGTTGGATCGAGAATGCCTAAAAATGAAGCATGATCTGCAGTGGAATGGTTGTTCAGATTCTCTCTATGGCTATCACAAGTTCGGTAATCGAACCAGCAATCCAGTCAGTACAAGGCGAATGAGCTAGACAGCTGTTGCTTGCGTTAGTACCGTGTCCAGATTATCAGGATTTGTACATCAATCAGTTCGTCTGATCTGCAGAGTTCCGTTTTAGTTTCAGCTTGTGAAACCAGTAACCATGCTCTATCGTGCGCCGGTTTTGGTTGATGTTTGTTGACTGCCCATTTGGATGAACAATTGGAGGAAAACAGGAAAGTTGAAATTAGGATCGAAGAGAAACTTGAGGAATTCAGTGGACTAACGATGCAAACAGGTTGAGAAAATGCACGAACGTCACTGTTCACGACACTCAGCCATATCACTGAGTGTCTCTAACCATCGGGTACGATCATCCCGAGGTCCCCATCCAGGGAGCACACACCGTCAAGGTGCAGTCTCGTCGGGATGGACAGAATTTGATGAAGTGAAATTTTATGCATCACACATTACTTTCTCGTGGTCATGATATCGTCACTTTCTGTGACAAAAAATGACCAGCCGCGCATTGCATTCCGACAACACACCCGTCCAACGCCCTAAAATTTCGTCACATTTGTTCTTCCCAATGCCTAGTGCTTCGGGCCTCATTCATCAGATTGAATATGATATTGAATCACATCAACCATATCAACATATCTGTATTATTAACATCCACTTAGTACTTTGCTTCCATTAGTCAAATGCCATTGTAATGTGCGATTTCTCGAATTCGACGACGATTGTCGGCGCATCAGTTGTAAAATAACAGAGCCTAGTTGACAAAATAATACCATCGGAATTTATTCATAAAAATAACTCATAGGCATCATACAGGTATTGTACTTTAATTTCGTCAATGTTCTGTTTGCCCTACAATATTTGTGAGCACTGAATTCAGTCGTTTCTGCACGGAGTACAAATTTGCCAAGACCGGTCAAACTGGGAATTTCTTTCCCTAGTAGCTTTGTTGTGAGATACTACTCAATTGTGAGTAGTAGGTGACATAGTTGGTGATTACTTTTGACGATAAAAAATTAGGAGGATCAGCGAGGGAAAATTGATGTATCTCAGAGAATAACAATCGATTGTTACATTTAATACTCGTTGTGCGGCTAGGAACTGTGATGGTATGTTTCTGATCAGATTTTCTGTGTTATGTATGTCGAATTTCTGATGTCCCATCTGTTATCGCCAATCAACGATTATCCTCGACCAGCAACATCTTCCGGAATCATAACACCTTGATTTGAACAAAAACCGTTCTCCTGGTACCTTTACTTCAGATTATAGTTGATGGAGGTAAATAGTGATTCGGTAAAAAAATGATTATTTTTGAAAACCACACAAAATAGTCCATTTTTACTGTTTCAACCGGTTCACGATTTGTTGATCTACTTGTATGTGTGTGTCTGTGTGTGGTACACCGACGAAATATGACGAGCACCTGACTCAAATGCTGCTCAAAAAGTGTTGGCAGAAATGAATTACGGAATTGCAAATCCGTCGCAATTCAATTTCGCTGCCTTATTAACTTTATTTTACGGCGGCTGGCTCCTGAGATAGGATGAGCCGGCTTCATAGATATCAAGAGAATATCCACAAAAATTCTTGGGACTTCAATACGGGAAACGTCCCTCGCATCCTCCTGAGCTTTGGGTCGAGGTGGCATCTCTAGCCTTCGCATATCCAAGTGCTAAATGTAGCACGAACGTAGTGCATGGTTGCCGGTGGCCCCCTGGGGTTGGGGGAGCTCTTACGCCATTGACAGTTTCTAGCTGAACAGGGGTCCATGTATTTCTGATGGATTCGGAGTCATTGCCTTAACCATTGAAAACGACTTTGTCCACCTAACAAGTATATTAAAAACGGACTCGCCGAGAGTCGAGCCCGCGGTTACCCTGAACC